CCAAAATTTGGCTAAATGCCGAAAGTGCCATTTTTGTGCCGACACATTGGTGCATCCCTGCTTTCTCTCCTCCCCGCTGGGCGCTGCTTTGTGTCCAAGCGGGGAGGTGAGAAAGTGTGACAGTCGGCCGACCACTGTGGGAGACTCCTGTGACAGCGTGTCAGAGAGGAGAGCGAATACAAACCCTCAGCGATCAGTGATCGCTGAATGTTTGTAAATAATTGAGGACATAGCATGTTGACTATATCCTCAATTATGAATGAATGGGAAGTGATCTACATCACCTCCTGTTATAGTCAACATACACTCTCCTCATGTTATGAATGACCTGGAACACTCATAGAGGATTGATAACTGGGGTTGCAGAAAAAGAGATTGAGGAATTTGTGTCCTCAATCTCTTTTTCTATTTTAAAAGGGAAATATCAGTGGTCTGTTTAGAACCCCAATATTACCCCGAAGCCCCTATAAGTAAAGTAAAAAAAATCAAAATATTTAGAAAAAAATGAATTAATAAATAAATATAACAAAATTAAAAAGTTTTAAAAAATAATAAAAATAAAATATTTAAAACATTTGAGAGAATTAGAATAAAAACATTTTCGGTTTGGGCCTGACAATTTTTTTATTTCGGTTTCGGTTTTGGAATTTCCATTTCGGTGCACCTCTAATATCAACCATTTTATTTTTTAAAATTTCCAGTTCATAAATTTCAGGCGACGGCCCTATGAATCATACTAACCCCAGTATAAGACAAGCATATAACAGGGATAACCCCTTACAAGGAAGCTCCATTCTCAGGGGCCCCTCTGTTTACCTGTGTACTGCTGCTGTATCTCCCTCTGACACCAGCCTGTATGAAAGTGATATGCTTCCATAAACACAGCTGTGTAAGGGTTTATGGGAAGGGACGTTCAGCTGAGGACAGAGGCCCACCCCCCTCCCAGCAGGCTTGTCCGTCATAAGCAATTTCAACCAGCTTGCGATTCCAAAAATAAAAGGCAACCTACCACCAATAGTTTTGACTGTCCATCTACTACCTAAGTGGAACATTTCTGTGAATTGTTAGGTTGTACTTGTGAATAAAATCTGGTTACAACTCCCCAAAAATACCTAGAATATGGTCAGCAGTACAGCTTACTTTATAAGCTTTAAAAGGGGACACTTGGTAAGCATGTATAGTGCCTCCCAAGCACCCCCAAATGCTTGGTTTGAAAGATTGACTTATCCACCTTTGCTGACTGTGGCTTCACTTAGTGCTGGCCTGCTCCTTGCATACTTAGTCAATATTACGCTTCTGTATATACTACTTCTTCCTGAGGTCCCCCTTGTTGGGAGAGATTTGTAATTGGAGGAGAACAAGTATGGACTTTACCTATTCTCTATGAGCAATCAAAAAACTGAACAGTTCACTGGAGAATGCATGTAATGTATTAGAAAATGACTCACACACATGAAGAATATAATTGGACAATCTAGCTGACAACCATTTAGATTACATAGTAGAAAATTTGTAGTAGTTATTTATAGTGGCACTATATATTTGCACCTCATATATCAAAAATATGTTGAAAGCTAATAAAAATTGTTCCAGTGACTTCTTATGACTAGATCTAATGTTACCCCAGAGATGTTAGAATTGTAATGTGCAATTCAACCATAACTCATTCAACTGGACAATGAGACTGTCATATGTGTGGCCAAGCTTTGGGGTATACAGGTTTTGTATGAAAAGTTTAATGTTCCATGTTAACCTCCTAACAAAAAAAGGAGAAGCTAATTAGTTGCTAGGATGGAACACTAAAACATACATACGTGGAAAACAAGGAATTGATTGCTAAAAGTTAACATGGATCACTTAGACATACATACGTGGAAAACAAGGAATTGATTGCTAAAAGTTAACACCCCAGTAGCTGCTGCAGATGTCAGGTTTAGTCTCCAGTTGTCCATCCTTTCACCTCAGATAAGACAGGACAGAAGTGCATCAGACTATGATCACATCAGATATGTGAAGTTTGATTTTATTCCCTCTCTTCAGCTTTGGATAGCATATAAATTGAAATCAACATCAAATTTAACTCAGGATATTAATACAAAATAAGGAACCTCTGATATACATTTATAATGTAACTACACGCAAAACTCGTTTTTGTTTTGGATGGATTCGTGAAGCATCTCAACCTGTACTGTGTTTGAATTGATGTCAGTCTCCTCTATGTGGAAATGTCCCCTCTCTTCCAGTTCCAAAAGTTAGGGGAATCTCTAAAGTGCAGACATAAGTGTGACGGATGTGCCAGTCCAAACCCACTGTACGTCAATAACATGTGACTATACGCAGTTCTGACCTGGATCGCCTCAGTATCCGGGTCGGTGACCGGCCGCACAGAGCCCCTACCGACCACCCAGAGCCCCTACTGACTGCCTGGATACCCTACTGACCACACAGAGCCGCTGCTGACTGCCCAGTGCCCCTACTGACTGCCTGGAGCCTGCAACGACTGCCCAAAGCCCGCACTGAGCACCCTGCGCCTGCACTGACCGCCCGGAGCACCTACTGACTGCACAGAGCCCCCAGTGACCGCCCAGAGCCCCTAATGACCACTCGGAGTCTACACTGACCGCCCAGAGCTTGCACTGACTGCCCAAAGCCCTCACTGACCACCCAGAGCTCGCACTGACTGCCTGGAGCCCCTACTGACCACCTAGAGCCCCTACTGACTGCCCGGAGCCGACGCTGACCGCACAGAGCCCCTACTGACCGCACAGAGCCCCTACTGACCGCCCGAAGCCCCCACTGACCATCCAGAGCCCCCACTGACTGTCCAGAGCCCCAACTGACCGTCTGGAGCCCCTTACTGACTGCCCGGAGCGCCTACTGACTGCACAGAGACCCCACTGACCACCCGGAGCCCGCACTGACCGCCCAAAGCCTACACTGTCCATTAAAAGTCCGCACTCACCGTCGAGAGCCCCTACTGACCGCACGGAGCCCCTACTGACCGTCTGGAGCCCGCACTGACCGCCCAGAGCCCCTACTGACCACTTGGAGCTCCTACTGACCGCCTTGAGTCCCTACTGACCGCCCAGAGACCCCACTGATTGCCCAGAGTCCCTACTGACCGCCCAGAGTCCCTACTGACCGCCCGGAGCCCCTACTGACCGCCCGGAGCCCCTACTGATTGCCCAGAGCCCGCACTGACTGCCCCAAGCCAGCACTTGGTGACGAGGGAGCATGGAGCCGGCTTTACGGCCGGTCAGGAAGTCGGGCAGCAGGTAATGACGGCGCCTAGCTTCCCGATTGGCCAGAAAGCCGACTTCATGTTCCCTCGTCACCTGGTATACAGGTTTACAAATTAAAAAAGATACAGCCCTTCTGGTGGAGGGTGTTTGGAGCTTACCATTCTATGCAATCCACCCAGATTAAGATGACCCTTGAAGTTGCTCCCAGACTCAAGGCAGATATCCTTCACTATTGTCTTATTGCTGCCCAAGCCTTCATTTTCAGATGCAGGAAACCTACTGATGGACCAAGACTGTCTATTTGGGTGGATATTATGAATGAGATGATGCAGTTGGAGCGACTGATGACAGATAACAATTAAATAATGACCTATGATATCGTTGTGTGCGGTTGGGTTGGATACTGTTCAGATCCTCAGGTCGTTTTCACACTCTGATGGGTCACTAGCTTTTCCTTTGGATATGTAGGTTGTTTATGATGTCTACTTTCTGATACAGCTCAGTGCAAGCATAAGTGGGGGCCAAGGCAGGTAGAAGTTATTCGCCTAGACTATTTACCCCAGAGGTTACTGAAGTTCTACTTTTTTGAAACTGTCTCTCTCTGTCACATCCCCTTCCCTGCTCCCCCCCCCCCTGCCTTTGTGCCCTGGCTCGCGCTCCTCTGTTTCATCTTTACTGAAACGTTTCCAGCCTCAAGTTGCTTCTTGGAGATTATCTGCAAGCCATGTAGCACCAGCACCTGACTTCTATACACTCTATAAGATGTAGTTCCTTGACTGTTATATTCATGATTATTTGGTGATAGCATTATTCTGTGAGATATTTTGTCACAGTTTGTATGGAAATGGAAACGTATTATTAAAAACCTGTTTAAGTTTAACCAAAACATAAATTTCATGCTCTGTACCAGAAAATAAACTACAGTCATGATTATTTCTTCAATATAGCTAAGGATGAAATGTATTTTATACAACAGTTTAATTTTTTAATTAGACATAGGAAACGAATGACCTCCTCCCACCAAGTATATCTTCCCAATGACCAATGAATCTGCCTCTTACATTTGGAGGCAATAAAAAGGCACAGGTGGCAAGAGGAAGTGGTCTACACCTTGACTATGGAAACTTTGTACATTCATAACTTACTAGAAAATCTGGGTTTGGTGCACCAGAGCCTGACCATAAAAGTTATCTTCAGTGTTTGTATCACAGAGTAACATAACACGTGTTAACACATGCACCACACATAAGTCATGGACCCTGAATGTTTGAATCTTTATAGAAGTAGGCAGTTCACATGCTTCTTTTCTCATTTGACATTAGCAAATCTTTAACATCTAAGAGTGTAAGCCCTCACCTTCCATAAATTCATCCGTTTACTATTATATATTATTATTATATTTAAATTAATCTTGGGCTATGAGAATAACAAAGGTGCAAGTAGAACATACAAACTAGAAGTAAAATAACATTAACTTTTTTGTGCTGATGGATATTTTGTATTGCTATGGGGAAATATGTTCCTTCCTTTTCAGGTACATTCAGCAATTTGTGGAATATAGGGTTAAAAATGTGAGGCATTTTTAAAAACTGACAAAAAATTAATCTATGAAATTTGGCATGGGAGTATAGTCTCTGCTGTGCTTTTTGTCCTTTTTTTAACACTTTTATCAGTTTTTATGTATTTCTCTTTATCTGGAAAGAAACATCTAGAAATATACACAGCTTAAAAGTCCCATTATACACCATGTACATAGTGCTTTCTTAGGTGTGAATTGTTCCACCAGGTAATCTCTACTCTGTAGACTCTTCTCCTTTACTCTGTCTCCGTCCCTCAGATGCCGTGTCCTCCCCTTCACTCTCCACAGCCTGTGCCCTGCGCCTCAGACGGAATTTATCACGGGGAGTATGGTCTGCATCATTGAAGGATTCAGTGCTTCGAATAGTGGAACTTAATTTAGCATGGCGAAACCGAGGGGGTGTCATCTGGAATGAATGACTATTGACACTGACAGAACTTTTACTGCGACGGAGAGTTACGTCAATTCCTAAAGGTGACAAAAGCATAACAGGTATGTTAACAATGTGAAGTAGAATGAGAAAGTGCATGGTGGTTAGTCAATAGATGAATGTTTTGGAATATTGGTGGGCAGGGATAGGATTATAGTAAACTGGTGCAACTTGTACTACATTTGTTTCACTTTTTAAAAATAACTAACAGGGTTATTCACAAAAGGGTGAAGAGTTTGGAAAAGGCAGGAGAAGTGAACAATCTAGGACAGGGGTGGCAAACACAAGGCCCGCGGGCCGAATCCGGCACGCCGGACCTTGTAATGTGGACCGCACAGCGCTGCCTGCCCACTCCTGCCTTCTCCAAACTCTTCACCCTTTTGTGAATAACCCTGTTAGTTAATCTAATGGAAAAATAGTAAAGATTACAGTAAAGCTTAAGCAAACCTTCGAAAGTTACTGATAAAATGAAAAGGTCATCTTCAATTAAAACCAAATGTAAAAACTGATAGTAGATCCAGAGATGTAGGTAACTAAAGTTATGTGTACATCTTGATTCTTTCTGTTTATTCATCAGGTGGTCAGTTTACCATTCAAGGATTTTAAATGTAGGAGATATGTCCTAAAAAACGTCAACATAATTTCTAGGATGTACCTCCAATATACAGCTTCTCTTCCCCTGCCAACGTTCCCTCTGCTGCTTTTACTCCAAATTACCGGCTGTCAAAATGACAGCTGGGAATTGCTATGTATTATATAGCAGAAGCGACTGTCAAAATGCAGACAGTCGGCAAGAGACATTGAGAAATACAGTGTAACAATGTATTGTTACATTGTATTTACTATTTTATTCATATGTACATCAAAGGTGTGACCTGCATATGCCATCAGTTAAAGAAACCTTAAAAGTAAAACATTTATTCCTATTTAAAGTTTATATCACCCCAAAGTTAATATACACTATATATGTGTCTGTGTTTTCATGTACAAGTTGGTACATCTGTCTTTTTCTGGTTTTATTTTTTTTTCTTTGATGTGAAATACCTGGTGATACTGCCAGTTCCCCTGCATCCCTAAATCAATCTGACCACACCAAGCATGGAAGCAGATCTGTGCTGCCATGGTCAGTTTGTGTAGCTGTGCACTCTACTTGAAGATACAGGATGCCATGCCTATGCACTGCATGCCTGTATCTTCTGTAGTCAGTTTGGTCACCACACCCCCTGCCCAGCACTGCTGCGTTGATTGACAGCAGATCCTGTTGGGTTTCAGCCAAATTAACTACGAGAGATTGACTGCGGCATTGTTTAACTCAAAGTAAGAAGGAGAAGCCACTGACATGTACATATACTGTATTTCACAATACTCAACGTTATATTCACCCGACTGTCAGTATAGATATACTGTATTTTGTCTTTAGAAATATTGTATCAGATCAGTAAAATGGATATTTTGTAAGATAGCTGGAAGTAATCTCTTCGTTCATATTGAGAAGGGAAATAGAGGTGTATGCTTTAGTTCTCTGTGTAATAGCATAGGTTGTTGTTGTTTTCATCTGTCCATAAGAACATCCATGACATTATTGTTGTTATTCTATTTATAAGTGTATTTGTCATTATTTTATAAGGGGTTAATAATTCCAGACTGTATAACATTATTGCAGCAATATTCTCCAGTTTCCTTTGATTTGGTTAAATCATCCTTATTGAAAGTTATCACTATGTCAGCTGAAGAATGAGTGAGAAGGAATCACCAACAATTAGCATAATATAGTTTCTTAAACTTACAGTCCCAGTTAGAATATATCATCAATAAGAAACTTATGTGGTTAGGAAAATCATGTAATTTAATATTTAAAACTGTTGTCTATATGTATATCATTATCCTAGAACAGCATATAAACTGTTGGTTCTTCATTACATCATTCCATCCACCAGAATATATTACATCCAAAGTGACATCATAGTAGAATATTGATGCTAATGCTGCCTATGTTCTAGTGTAATGTGTTTTGATACAGAGTTAGTCTCATTCACATTTGATTAACAGTAGTTAATCAAATCATATCCTGTCAGGGACCCAGGGGGGCCGTTCCTTACCAGGCTCGCCAGCATCGGGCGCAGTCTCCTCCTCCACCCGGCAGGGCATCTGGCGCTGAGTTTTCCGGTGCGCATGCACAAAATGCGCAACGTGCATGCGGTACGCAAGCCACACGAGCGCGTAGTGCGTCTGCGCCACTCTGCGTTCCAGGTGCTACATAGGCTGGGGGAGGTCCTCAGCAGTCACCACCCGCCTCTCAGCCCTGCTATTGGCTCCTGACTGAGGAAGCTTCCTGGTTGCCTCGGCAGCCAGGGGGATGATCCTGGGTTTCCCTATGCATATAAAGCTGGTCAGAGCCTTGACTCATTGCTGAGTTATTCTACCTCATGGTGAACACCCAGCCCCATGTATGAACCTGCCTTTTGTGATCGATCTGACCTCCCGGCTACCGACCCTTTCGCCTGACCCCACGCCTTTGAACCTCGCTGCCTGCCACGACCCGGACTTGACTATTCTTTTGGATTGCCCTTTTGATACCTCGCTCTTGGACTTGTTTTTGTCCCTGCCAAGAGATTCCACTCCCGGCCCAGCCATCCAGCCTGACATATCCATCCCATAAACAATGTTTCTTTGTTTGGTTGGTGGATGGCACAACTGGGGTTCTAGCGGTGGAAGGATTAGATCTGACCAGTTTCACTGGTTACTCCCGTCTTTTTCAGACATCTGTCTCCAATGGTTATTCTCTTGTATTTAAGTATCTCCCATCATGTCTTCACTCAATATGGCTCTCATCTTCATCCCAAACAGCCAACCGCATCTTTGCCTGGACACCTGATGTCATGGTGCATGTGTTGGGTGGGTCCTACTTCTGTTGGTATACATGGTGCATGCGCAAATCAACTACGCACCTTCCCGAGAGAGACATGATGGTGCATGTATAGGGGGGAAAATGGAGCCACAATGAGTGTAAAGAGGGCCCATCAAACAAATATAAATATAAAAAGACCTTTGTTTTTATGGGGAAATGAAAACAACAACACATACCATCACACAGAACTATAGCATACATCTCTATGTCCCTACTCAATATGAAAGAAGAGATTACTTCCAGCTATCTTATGAATATCCATTCTATGGATCTGAAACAATATCTCTAATGGGTAAATATGTCTTTACTATTTTGGTTTACTATACTGGCAAACCAGTGAATATAACATTGAGTATTGTAAAATAGGGACCATTAAGCTCTGTATTCAATGACAATTTTATAAGATTGAGTTTCCTTCATATTTGTTTAAATGTGGATGCAGTATTTCAGAGCATTTATGATCATTGGTTGATATTTGGAGGTGAAATATCCAGATGGATATAAGTTACTTATCTTACCATATCTTTATGAAGGAGCACTGTATACATTGGTTGGCTGAAGTTAATTAATCACACTACTGGGAGGATACTAATTTTATTTAAATAAAGGTGTGGTGTCTTTGGACAATACCTACTTATATATTATTAATCATAGACAGTATCTATAGTCTCTCTATATACAGTATAGTCCTTTCAGAGATCTCTCATTTATAATGGAAGATAATTGTGTTTCAGTAACTATCTTTACCTTTTAACTATCTTTGTGGATATCCACAAAATATTAACTGTTAGTAGGACTCAAAACAAATAATACGTTATACTAAATTTCTAGGTATTTTTATATGTACCATAAAAAGACATTAAACAACCAAAAGCTTTTTATTAAACAACAGATATTTACCTTTAGAAGGACTTTCTGGCTCTAACTCAGGCTCATTAGGAGGGTTAAGTAAACGAGGTGTTTCTAGAGGTCCTTTTGAAGGTTTGTCCTTAGTCTTCAGGAGCCTCTTCATTTTATCTGCAATCCAGTTACCTCTCCTGTGACTGAGAACAAAGAATACAAATAACTCCCATATGCCACATAGCTGATTACTTTTCAATTTCAGATACAATTGTTTTGTCAAATGAATCAAGGGATACATACAAGGTGGTTATCTGGATATAAGGGTGGACAGAGAAAGGAAGATGTCTTCCGTAGAATAATGGCACAGGAGACATCTACCTTTCTTTAAAAGCACTTGGACCAGTTGCATTGTACTATGAGGCCTGGCCAATGGTGTCCATTATTGAGAAAAGGCAAGGATCAACCCAGTGCAATAATGTTTCAGCAAGTTTGGAAATCTCTGTGTGTAATGATGGTCATTAGCACTCGTTTTACTCTAAATGACCTAAACCTTGTTCATGTGCTGCATAGAAATTTTGTATCGAGGGTGGCATTTGTATGTTTATGGCCATACCGAATTTTACTAAAATTATTGTTTGACGGAGAAAATAAATAGTCAAATGATAACTATAATAGTAAAAGCAATTACATCTCTGCAATGGGCAGGCGTTTTGTTGTCATTACTTTAAATATGCATTATTCCATTATTTTCTATAAGCCAGCTGTGATGGAGCGACAAGTCCGATCCCACTCAACTTGTCACCAACACGATACGCAGTCCTGATCCTGCCGTGCCGTCACCAAGAAGTGACAATACCAGTCTCAGCCTCACCCTGCACAGAGATTTTCTGGCTCGCGGGGCAACAATCTAAGGCCAGAAGACTGAGAGTGATTATCACTGAGATTTGGTTAACTGCACAGTTAACCCTTTACACAAAAACAATAGTTGCCACTATGCGACATTTCCCAGCAAATGCTGTGACAATTATCACAATGCCTGTGATGCCCACTGTCCCTTCAGATGGGAATATAACAGGTTTCACAATATGGTAGCACTCCTCACAGAGTCAAGGATACTTTAAGTTCTTGTTTAGAGCATAGAAATAAGCTCATCGATTGTAAAAGATTGCTTTTAATAAAAGAAACAGTACAAAAAAATACAGAAAAAGATGTCACAAAAGAGAGAAAAATAAAACAACAGTAAAAAAAAAGGGAATAATGATTAAAGTACTTATCAAGGTCCTGGGTTTTGTGAGTTCTAGCAGAGTCCAGACAATGAAACAGAAGATGGATCTGGATTGGCTCTTTTGAAGTAAGGCAAAAGTTTTGGTGCATAATGTTAATGACAGCTTCTTCTTTTGATGGTAGAACAAGAGCTTCTTCTTTGATGTTGCACAGGAGCATTTAGACTGCCTTGTGCAGCAGCTTTTTTGTGGGCCCTCTAGGGGGTTGTCACTAAGCCAGGTCCCCACACAATCAGGAAGACACAGCGAGGTGAGCAGGATGGCTGGTGCGTTTTATGATCTGCTCACTGGCCCTATTTAAACTGTCAATTTGATAACAATTGCCATATTTTAATGTTCCCACTGAGTACCACATAATAAACAATAGACTGTGTGTTATGAAATTAGTTTTGAATATATAACAAAAGTTGAAATACCTATGAGGTATGTCTGCTTTACTGCTTTAGAAGGATTAATGTGGGTCTTTAGCCCTCATTATATACCCCACTTCCACAGGCAACCCAAAGAAAGACCACCCACCCCTTGGAGCTCATACACAGTGACGTGTGTGGACTAATGAAAACTCCCAAATCAGGTGGGAACAGATATCTACTGACTTTCATTGATGATTATTCCAGGTACACAACAACTTATCTGATGAAGCACAAGAATGAAACATCAGAAAAACATCAAGAGTTTGTAGCTATGTCAAACAACAAATTCCAACGGAAACCAGGAATTATACGCATCGACAATGGAGAGGAATACATCAGTAAGGAAGTGGAATAATATCTGAAGAAACAGGGTATAGCACACCAGACCAGCACATCATACACTTCTGAACAAAATGGTGTAGCAGAATGGAAAAATTGCACGCTTATAGAAATGGCCAGATGCTTGATGTCAGATGCCAACCTACCTAAGAAGTACTGGGGAGAAGCAGTCATGATTGTAACATACTTACAGGACAGACTACCATCAAAAGCTGTTGAAAGCACCCCATTTGAAATGTGGCATAGATGGAAGCCTAGCCTAGGGCGCATCAGAGTTTTTGGATGTAAAGCTTACGCTTATATTCCCAACGAGAAGCGATCCAAGTTGGAGGACACAGCCATAGAAGGTATTCTTGTGGGCTATAGTAAACAAAGTAAGGGATAGAGAATCCTCCACCCAAAGACTGACAAAGTGACATTAAAGGAGAACTATGGGGTCAGGGCTTTTCCCCATAGTTCTCCTTAGGGTAACGGGAGGACACAAACTAGCGTCCTCCCGTCACCCTAAGCTCAGTATACCGCGAGCTACAGCTCGCGGTATACTGAGACGCCACAGCCGGAGCGGATCCCGACATCGATGTCGAGATCCGCCCAGCTGCGTGAGTGACAGCTGGGTCTGCCTATCTAGAGGCAGAGCCAGCTGTACCCGCCCCCTCCCCTGTCCGTTCCGCCAGCGCTGGTGGATCGGAGCAGGGAGGGGAGAATCCAGCCCCTCCCCTGTCACGGCAGAGAGCCGTGACAGGATCGAGAAGTGAGCGAACACCGGTATGTGTTCGCTCACCTCCTGATCTACTGAGCCGACCTGTGACAGTCTCATTGTCACAGGTCAGCTAGAACTATATGAGGTGAGTGAAAAGCACTCACCTCATAGTTCTTTTTTAAGCCGCAGTGTTTATTTTGATGAGAACCCATCACCGGAAACAATGATCCTGGTAACTTGTGAAGGGACTTTACCCAGTGAACCAGCAAAGGGAGCTGAGCAAAGTGAAGCCACACAGGAGTTAGAACAAGAAGTGGAACTCACAATGGATAAGTCAAATTGCATGTTAAATTCTGCAGAACAACCTGAAATTAGAAGATCCACTCGGACAACAAAGGGAATACCACCCTACAAACTGTCATATACTGCTAAGACACAAAGCATATTTGAACCAACATCGTGGGAAGACATAGAAAAATGACCAAAACTCGAAGCCAATCAATGGAGTAAGGCAGCAGAAGAAGAAATAAAATCACTCCAAGAAAATAAAACCTGGACACTCAAGAGCAAGCCATTATTGACATTCAATATTGCTCAACAGAAGAAATGACTGCGGATGCATTTACCAAGCCAATGCCAAAGGATCGTCACAGTTTCCTTTGAGAGAAGCTGAACCTCATATAGCAATGCATATGCTGTTGAGAAGGGGTGTCGGAAATGTAACAGCATACTGATTGTATTACTGACTGTAATTATGCCTTTTGAGCTGTAGATTTCGCCGTAGTGCAATTTTAGTCTCTGTGCTTATGGATATTTATCTATGATATATACAGGAAGTTCTCTCTGTAAGCTGTATAATGCTGTATTCTGATGTAATGTATTTTTAAGCAAGTAAAACTTAACTGAGCAATCCTTAAGATCTCAGTGATTCATCTAAACACATAACCAACATGCATCTCATTCCATTCAACAGTCCATGTAGTAGGCTTTATGCAGGGCTGGATTTCCCATAAGGCCAACCAAGGCCCGGCCTTGGGGCAGCAGGGAGTAGAGGGGCAGCAGGGGTGTGGAATTCCTATCTCCTGATGCCCGTGACATGCAGTTCCGGGCACTGGGTGGGTAGTTGTTTTCTACATTTAGGCCTGCTTTGGGCAAGCAGAGCTAAATGTACAGCGGGGAAGCCACCGCTTGTTTTGTACAAGTGGTCTTGGCCATGTCGCCGAGATCACTTGTATGCAGCCTGCAGGTCTGCTAAGCACTGAGGGAGGGGACTACATTTTAGTCCCAACACATATCCTCCAATTGGTATGGTAAGCATTCTGTACTATAATCCTCTGCTACCTGGATTACCTTTGCATTGCTGGAGCGGGTTCCAAAACTCGGTACTGGTCCATAATCTTATCAAGCAGTTTTTGCTTTTCATGCTTCAGCTCAGTCAGTTTCTCTCTATGAAATAGAAAAAATGATTATGTGGCATATACAATATAACATTGTGTTTATACGTGTTTTAGTTTTAAAATAAGACGTGGCATGGGCAGCTTTAAAGGCAAATACCATCACCAAGCAGCAAAAAAGTTCTTCTACCTCAGCAAATATGGAAAAGTAAATTGAGGGGACAAGACCCGAAAGACCCATTCACACTTCTGCACATAGAAATTAATTAGTTTTTCAACTCCTGTTTAAGTGCATTTTTCATATTATGCATCTTACTTGCCTTTTCTATACGTGTATGACAAGAGGAGGGCATTTTGGATACAGTTTAATGAATTAAAATCTATGATGAAGATATGTACTGTATATTGCATTTCACATGTGTATTACTCTCATTTTATGTGCAGTAGAATTCGAAACTGTGGAAGATATATTCTATGGAAATCCCACCAAAATGTATTTTTTTTAAATGCACAACACTAAAACATATTATTGTGAATGTTGCCATTGAGAAAAATGGTATAGAATTTGCCACATACTGTGTGATTTGCCTTTATTCTTTCCACAGTACATGTATTATCATTTCTGTAAGTAGCCAGAATGAAGGTCAATTTTTGCCAAAACTAAAATATAATTATGTTGACATTACCGGAATTGCCTCTCCTCCTCTTGTCTCAAAGCTCCACTCTCCAGACTGCGCTCTAATAACTCGCGGTTACCATGTGTTAAAGAGTTAATCTGAGACAGCAAAATAGTATTCTGATCTTGAAGAGACAATTTCACCTGGGATAATACCTGTAGGATACCAAGCAACTGTTATTAGGGCTTACAAGTCAGCACTAAAACACTGTAAACATCATGCCTATTACCACTAATGTCCCCAGGGGCATAGGGGACATGGAGTCCACCTGCACTACACTGGTAAATTCTGAGTGGCAAACTGTTTTGCGGTAGCGGTTATCACTAAGCAGGGGCAGTAGTCTGTGGTGGACTAGGATGGCTGTGTATGTCTGCTTGTACCTTTGCAGTAAATGGCACGAGCCAAAATGAATTTGTATGACTGGCATCCAGATGTACAGTTAGCAGATGTGTACAGGGGAAGATGTACAATTAATCACAATGTGTTGGCAATTGGGTAGATACAGAACACATCTGCAGAGTCTGCAATGAGGTGGGCCATGAGTAGACCTGGTGAGGAGCTACTGCAACTCCATGCAGAAATAGCATTACACAGCATCAGTCAGGAGAGCCCACAGTACACATAGTAACAAGAAAACCCAATTTTATTCTCACAACCACACTTCTTGGTATTTAGAGAAATGGGTGAGGTAAAACACTTTATAAACATTTGAACAATGCTGCCTGCTAGCTGACGTGATATAGTTGACAGAACCACCACAATTTTAATGATGAGGAAGTTCAGTTCACTGAAAATTCTTTACCCCTGAATTTCCTCCAACACCTATGGCTGTCGAATATCATGATAATCAAAATGTATGTAAACCTTATATAAAGAGAGATGAGCATACATGAAATACTTGTTGTTAAGTTCTCTTCTGAATCATGGGGCTTTTCCTTTAGTAGCTGGTCTTTTCGGAATGTGAAAAGCTACATTTTAATGCAACAATTACAGTCTTAAGCCCCGTTCACATTGAGCGATTTATCGCGCGGTAATTCCCGCGATATCGCGGCAAATTACAGCGCGATATCGCGCTCCAATGCATTTCAATAGGGCAAAGGGTCCTGCTGTAGCGGGTCGTGTGTCGCTACAGCAGGACCCTTTTTGGAGCGGATTTAGCCGCGATTCAAGCTTGCTCAATGCAAGCTTGAACGCGATATCGCGCGGCAAATCTCGCAATGTCGCGCAATATGCAATAGGGCCCACGTTCCCACTGCGCGATATGCAAATCGCGCGTTTGTCGCGAGATTTGCCGCGCGATATCTCGTTCAAGCTTGCATTGAGCAAGCTTGAATCGCGGCTAAATCCGCTCCAAAAATGAAGGTCGCGTCTTAGGCCCTGTTCCCACTGCGCGATATGCAAATCGCGCGTTTGTCGCGCAATTTGCATATTGCGCAATATCGCGAGATTTGCCGCACGATATCGTGTTCAAGCTTGCATTGAGCAAGCTTGAATCGCGGCTAAATCCGCTCCAAAAAGGGTCCTGCTGTAGCGACACACGACCCGCGACAGCAGGACCCTTTGCCCCATTGAAATGCATTGGAGCGCGATATCGCGCGGTAATTTGCCACGATATCGCGGGAATTACCGCGCGATAAATCGCTCAATGTGAACGGGGCTTTAACGTAATGTGTAAGAAAACCAGACCATGAAAATAAGTTTCCAAGAATGCCCCCATTTGAAATAGAATGAACATCTACCAGGGAATGAACAGGTGAGCTGGTATTTCTCATGGGATATTTCTACACACTGGCAAGGAAGAATGATGTGTCAAGTCACTATTTATCTAGGTGTATACTTTACACATGGTTTTCGTTTTCACCTACATAATGTTATGGCTAACACTGTGAAGCACTAACATATATTCATATAATGATACCATTAAAGAAAACTAACCTGACACTGCTCAGTTAGCACTGTGTTACTGATCTCGATTCGCTGTTTAGACTCTTTCAGTTCCATACGCTCTCTTTCAAGTTGCTCACGCTCCCTTCGGACAGCTCCTAGCTCTCTCTTAAGTTCTCTCCGCTCTAATGCCTTTTCATTAGAAATCTTCTCCAAGTGTGAAAGTTCCTCTTGCAACCTATATGGGTAAAACAAGGTAACAATTACTTATCTACTTATCATCATACCCTCTCATTTTTCTTTCTACACCACCTAAAACTGTTTCTGTTAAGCTTAAATATAATGCATAGTTTTTTCAGGGCTTCTTCCAGATATATTGAACTGCAGATATATAGAGGGCTGTGTCTACCACAATGGCAATATTTGACTGATGCCTGGGGCATCAGTCCAAGATTGCCTGTGTAAGGGGGACAGCACCAAGCCGAGTAAGCTGTGTAAGGGGGACAAGCCTAGTAAAGTGTGTAAGGGGGACAGCACCAAGCTGAGGCTGTTGAAAAGAAGTCAGAAGGTATTGACAGCTCAGGAAATATGAAAGTGTCTCCCCTTTCTTTTGTTTGGTGGCTTGTTTAGTTGAAATGTTGTCTGGCATATACAGCAAACCCTATTCTACAAGTGTTGAGTGAACCGGGCCAGGTTCAGTTTGTGGCACAAACGGCGAGCCCAGTAAGAAGTTCAAGATCACTGAATTTAGTGGTGAACCTAGCTTTTTTTTTTAAGGCTAATAGGCATACTGAGTTGGAAAAAGGGGGACGTGACCAAAGCAAAAAATGTTTTAAAAAATACTGTTCGGTTGAGAGGGTTTTTTTTCATGTGGTTTAAACGGCAACATTGAAAATACACACATCCTTTAAAGAACACGCTTGGGGATGCATTAAAGCTGCACATTGTGTTACAGAACAGTAACACATAGTCCTTTAAAAGTGACATTTAAAAATTGACATTGGGTTCCCCATCATAGTCTAACCAGACCCTTATCCGGACATGCAGCCTGGGTGGCCAGGAAGGGGGGGCAGCAAGCAG